TTAATTTTGATGCATTGATGTGATAATCACAGCTGTTAGGTGGAACTAGTTTTAATCAATTTAAATAATTATATATCATAGTTTATTTGTTAATTTATTATTTAGTTTTAGCTAATAATCTAAATCTGTAAAGTAACAAGTAACTCATTTTGTCAAATAAATGTAGTGGAGTAAAAAGTACAATATTGGCTTTCAAATTGTAGTGGAGTATAAGTAGCATAAAATAAAAATACTCAAGTAAAGTACTCCAAATCCTACTCAAGTACAATACTTAAAAAAATGTACACCACTGGCACTACCTCTGCAGGGCGCTCTCCATCTCCTTCTTCTCCTGGTGGGCTTCTTTGATCTGGTGTGTGACCCTGGTCAGGAACTCCTCGAAATTGGACAGAAGGTGAGGCTCGTCCCGCCGGAGCTGAGCCCAGAGACTGCGCACCTCACCTGGACTGGGGGGGGGGATTCATGTGTCAAGAAGGAATTATCTTTGCTGAAACACACCAAAGAAAACCACACAGGGATTGCACTCACTCCTCAAATACGTTACTGGCCCCCAGGCTCTCCAGCAGCATACAGAAGTGTCCCTCCTCCTCACTATCGACCCCCGACAGCTTGGCTTCCCATTGACTCTGATAGAGGGCTTCTTTGGCCCTAATGCCGTGGCCGGGGGCCGGATTCTGCTCATCAGTCACAGAGATCCTCCGGCCATGCAGGAACTGACCTGAGAGAAACCCACAGAGGATGTATTAATGTGTTGCAGCAGTATGGGAAACAGCATGTCTTTTCCTCTGAGAGCGACCTTCTGAGTTACTTTCTGGACTCATATTTGATTGTCATTTGAAAGATAATAATAAAGCTTTATTTGTATAGTATATTTCTCAACATGGCACACAAATCAAAGCAAAACACAAGAAATGAACTTCAGGTCAAACAGTAAAATCTTTTTGCATGCATGCAGCATGACATCATATTATAATAGATAGACAGGGACTTTAGGATTATTTAAAAAGCCATTTGAAGAGGACCTCAGGGCGACCTCATACAACTAGAGTGAATCGGTGAGATATGAGGGTGCCGAAGCATTAAGAGCTCAAATAGTGTAAGATCAAAGTAAGCTGTATACAGATAGAAGCGTTAGAGGGCAGGAGACCTACTGAATCCAGAGGAGAATGCCTCCAGCGTGAGGTAACCCGTGTGGTCCGTATCCAGAGAGTCGAACACGTCCTCCAGCTCCTCTGCAGACAGAGGCAGCTGTCTGTGGAGCCTCTGCAGGAACACACACACACACACACACACACACACACACACACACACACACACACACACACACACACACACACACACACACACACACACACACACACACACACACACACACACACACACACACACACACACACACACACACACACACACACACACACACACACACACACACACACACACACACACACACACACACACACACACACACACACACACACACACACACACACACACACACACACACACACACACACACACACACACACACACACACACACACACACACACACAGGATGTTCAAATGCTGCCATACTAAACTCAGCAGGGAGTATCAGCAGCTCAAATATTGAGTTGGACGTGGTTGGGAGTTAGATTCAATAAATGTCACCTATAAACAGTAGTGTAAAGTAACTAGGTAGACTTACTTAAGTACTGAACTTAGGTACAATTTTGAGGTACATGTGTTTACTTGAGTATTTCCATTTTTCGCTACTTTGTACTTCTACTCCACTACATTTCAGAGGTAAATTGTGTACTTTTACTCCACTACATTTATTTAATACCTTTAGTTACTTCACAGATGTGGATGAATGATGTGAAATATAATCAAGTGTTAAATCAGACTTTAGTTCCACCTGGAGTAAATCCACAAGCTACCCTGCAGTATACAAAGTCATTCAAACTAGCTGCACCTTTACCAGCTTTGAGAACACTTTAATGATCAATCATTATAAAACATATCATATATATTATTCTGAAATGGACCAATCTGCACAACGACTACTTTTACTGTCGCTACTTTAACTATATTATGATGCTAATACTTTTGTACTTTTACTTGAGTAACTGTGAATATAGGACTTTTACTTTTTAACAGAGTATTCCTACACTCTGGTACTTCTACTTTCACTCACAGTAAGTACAAGATCTGAGTGCTTCTCCTGTAAAAGTGATTGCAATCCTCCAGCTCTGTTTTGATATTCCTCATACAGCGAGCGCAGAGTGAACACTGGAGCAGAGTTGTTTTTGACGTGTCACTGAAGAGAGCTCTTCTTAGAAACCCTGAACACAAACAACAGCAACAAAAGGCCTGACGCTAACAAGGGCCCTGTCCTATTCAACTGACAGCTCGGACACTGTTAGCGCTTTGAAGAGGCGCGTGTGTGTTGTTACCACCAGTAAGATGATTTGTGTGTGTGAGAGAGGGAATGAGGTGAACCTAAACATTTCCATCAATGGTGCTTCTCTGCCACTGTTCATGTGTTCGTGGGTGAAGTGCTCCTTTAGCAAAGGTTAGGAACAAAACAACCAGAATTGAGTGAGGACGGCACAGTGAGTGTTTCCTGCTTCCCGTTCACTGTCATTACAGCACCACTGGACACTGAACTAGGCCCAGGTAAATGTCTCCTTGACCTATTGTTCTTCCTAATGGAGGCTTAATGCTAAATGCTTGTAGCACTTCGGGATCTGAACTCAGATATGAAGTGCGTTATAAATTAAACCCATTATTATTATTATGAATGCATTCGCAGAGCAGCATTACATTTTCAAAAAAGAACGAGAGACTTTAAAGGTTGAGTGTGACACTGAAAACAAACTTCCATAAACAAATAGTTTGTGCTTTAAAGGAAATATAAAATCAGTAACGAAAGTGTCCAGCAGATTTATCTTGAAGAATATAATCCTGTGTTGCACCTTGGAAATCATGCCATCAATATCTCTCCTGATGAACTAGAAAGCTTAGACTTGCAATAGCGACGACTAGTAGATTAGTCAGATCAACAGATTTACTATTTGATAATCCTTCACGGAATTCTTCATGTAAAAATGTCAGAAAACACAGTTTTAAGCCTCTGAAATATGTAGAGGTCTTGCTTTTCTGTTTTTGAACAGACAACATTTTGACTTTGATAAACTGGGATGGATTTTTTTGATGTCCTTTTATGGGCATTATAATAATACATTATAATAAAGATTCCTGCATTCCAAATCTTACTTAAGTAAAAGTAAAAAAGTATGATCAGGGCAATGTACGTATTCAAAGTAAAATAACCTCAAAGTTGTACTTAAGTGCAGTACTTGAACAAATGGACTTCCCAACTCTGATTTACATGTTTTAACTTGAGTCTCTCCATCCCAACCTCAAGCTGACACACACACTTTAACAACACACACAGCCTGATCTCTAACCCTCATGTCTGTGCGGCTGATGAAGCCTTTGCCCTCCACGTCGCAGGTCTGGAAGAACTCCTTGGTCTTGTCCAGCAGGGCGATGCTGCCCCAGTCCGAGCGCCTCCTCCCTGGGCTCAGGCCGAAGCCGTTCACCCGGCCCTCCTCCTCCCCCATGTCTGGATCTTTAGGGAGCAGCGCGGGGTGTACGCAGCATGTATTTCACTGGCAGTCACAAGGGGAACCAGACATCAGGCCTCCTCACTGGCCCTGTATACAAAGCTGTGGGGCTTGCACAGTCGCCATGACGACGGAGGCAGGAAGTAGCATCAGATGGTGAGATCACTGATAACTGTGTGGTTTAATCTGAGAACTGGCTCCTGTGAGAGAACAGCAGAAATACAGAAGACATTTTTGAGACACAAGTGATCAGAACAGGAATGCAATAGTACATCACTTGTTACACCTATACGTACTTCCCTTTTCTTATAAACCAGGAACAACTCACAAAGGTATGTAAACACAGTGTAAAGGATTATGTTAAGACCCCGCCATACAGAACACATGACAGCATAATGCCTGCAGGAGCGGCTGAATTTAGAGCTGTAATGTACCACACAACACACGCCATTCTTGTTTTCCCACCACAATTGCACCGCTGTACTCTTTTCTGCAGTGTTAAGAGTCGGGGTAAGAAACAGACATGTTATTTTGAAGGCAAAATATGTTTTCTTAATTGTGGTGATGGGAAAGTGTTTTTTACTTTCTAATAAGACATTGTTTTTCAGCTTTTCGGAGAATAAAAAATAAAGTTAAAGACCTGTAAATTGAACATAAGAACCATACACTCCCCTTTGTATCCTCAAAAGACTTCTTGAAAAATAATAAAGCACAGATCTCAAGTATTTGACCCTCTGCTGTTTAAGATTACCGTTCAAATCTGTTATACTCCGCTAAATATGTCATTTTAAAACATAAAAGGTTGCAACCTTTCTTTAAAACAATACCTGTGGGAAACGCTTTCTGCTCCAAACCTCTCAACTTAACTACATATGCAGCTTTTAAAATACTTAGCGGTTACCTACAAATGGCGTCTTCAAATAAACCAGAAACAGAAGAAGCCTTACCTTTTGACAAATGAGGAGCAGAAGTGAGCTCTGTCTGAGTGTCAACAGAGCAGCGGCTGCGCTCCGTGTTTAGGAAGTCTTGCCTCAGATGAACGTTAGAGAAGTCACTCTGTGACCATGTGATGTCATGAGGAAGCTGCTGGAGGCTTTTCAGCCTGCGTCCCACAGCGAGAGAGAGAGGGGGGGGATCTCTCAGTGGGCTACATGTATGCGACAGGTTTGTGTCTGTAAACATGACAATAGCAGTCTAATAACACTAAGTTTAATTGTTTATACAGGATTTATGACTACTGTAAAAGCAGCCACTTGCAGCTTACTGAAGTTGAGGATGGATTTACATTTTTAAAGGTTAAACCTAAATGACTGATAAGTGAATGATGATTTTACGTCATGGTAAAAGCTACAACTGAAATGTCTTTGCCATATGAAAGTAACAACACGTTACAGAAAGATAAAACATTTATTGTGTAATAATATCTTACATAAGCACATTTCCCCTTCTCCTCAGGTTTCACAATGCCACCTTGTGGTCTGATATTACAAATGAACAGTTTTTCCTGGGGCAAAATACTGAACAAAGAACAGAACACCACTCTAAACATAAATCAGCATTGAAAAGAGATATTTGTGTGAAAAGTTCAATCCAAGTCGTCCACGGGTAATCTCTGGGTTTTTTTTAATCGCGCAATCGAATAGAGGCAGGGTCCCATATATTCTTCGTTGAGACTCATTTCCCAGCTCCTTGAGTGATCTTTTGAAGCAAATACTCCATTTGTAAGTTCAGATTGGGTTGTCCTTTTTTGGTCTTTTTGTTAAGTATCTGAAAAGTCTCCTCCTTTTTCTGTTTGTACTTCTTGATGGCTTCGTCTCTCTGCTGCTTGTCTGTCAGGAACTCCTGGAATACATAGAAAAGAAGAAGAAATGAGAAGAAGAAATGAGAAGAAGAAGAAGACAACCCATCAGTAGAACGTCAGACTGCTTTTGAATTGAAGTCATAAAAAACTAAAATACTTAAACTATGTTGAGTCATTATTAACATAAAACTTCTTTCACCTCTTTCTTCTTTTTACGTTTTTCTTCCACTGACTCAAATTCCTCTTTTGTTTTCTCGTAGGACGTCTTTTTCTGCATTTTCTTCCTCATGCGGTTGCTCATTGGAAGACTGAAACAGATCATAAAGGCACATTTAGTGTCAAATACTGTTAAAGGTCCCATGTCATGGCCATTTCTACTGATCATAACTCCGATGTTGAGGCTAGAATAGATTTACATTGTTCAATGTTCCAAACTCTCATTGCTTTCTCAAACGGCATCTCTGTAAACTACGTGTATTCACTAGGGATGTTAAGATTCACCGATTCGCATCGGTGCACCGGCATAAACGTTCAAGATGCGAGTGCACCGGTTGAGAGAGTGCACATCGGCTACAGTTTGGGTTGAATGCATCGATTGTAGCGTCTTTGCATCGGTAAAAAAAACGATTCATTCATATAATATCCCCTCATCCTGTCAGCACTCACAGAGACGATCTTTGATCTTTGCTTCGCACTACGGAGGCCGAGAGTCTCAGTTATCAACCCACATGGAAGTCGAGGAGAAAGAGAAACACAGCGCACCGAAAAATACCTACAAATCAAACGTTTGGCAACACTTCGGATTTTTCAAGAAAGACGGATAACTTGAAAAATCGCTCGCAAATTGTTAACGATGCCGTGCGGCTTTAAAGTACACAAGTAGTACGAGGAACTTAGCGACGCACATAAAGAGGCGACATGGGGTCTGCGGCTGAAAAGAGAAACCTCAAAGTTAGACGTATGAGTGAAATCACTCAGTGAGGTGTTCTGTCAGAGAGAGTGGTGTTTAGTTTACAGCAGCCTGTGACGGCCAATAATAATTTAAATGTCTTCCTCACTGTAAGCAGTTATGAAAGAGCTGTTTGTGAAAGGTTATTTGTATTATTTATTGTTCATATAGAAACCACTGCTTTCTGCTCACTGGTGAGTTAGCCTATGAATGAGTGTTAAGCACATCAGGCTGGCAGCTGTATGGGCATTGCTCTATGGTAGCTGTTATTTGCACATTGTTAATCATGAGCAATGCATCCTTACATTGTTTAACTGGGAGGTGTTATACAATTGTACTCTGGAGAGCTTTTAAAGGTAAAAAAGAAGCCGCATGATGGGATGTGCAGTACTAGTAGAGAGAACCAAATATGTAAAGCACTTTCTTGTTCATTTATGATTTGCTGCATATAAGGAATAAAACAAAATCCTCTGTCGTACCATATTGAAGTATCATTATTTTGCATCGTGTTGAACCGCATCGTATCGAACTGTATCGCAACAGGGGTGAATCGTATGCATCGCCTGGTGTTTCAAATGTATCGTTAATGTATTGTATTGTATTGCATCGCATCAGCCTCAGTGATGGAGATGCACATCCATATTCACTGGCCGTTTCTCAATCGCGAGGATACTGGCTTCCAAGCCAATATTTCAAGGATACTACGTCATCGAGTGCCGCCGAAGGACTGTTCCAATCTCCAGCATACTTGGAATTGCACCGAGGCCGCGTCCTTGGTTTGGGGGTAATTTCTAGGCTGCACATGGGTAGACTTTGCGTCCTTCAAATCCCAACAATGCTTTACGCGCGGGCCAATTTCCCCAAATCTGTGGTGGCAAATGTAAGGCTGTGACGCACACTTGCTCGCCTGTTCCACTCTTCGTTTTCCGAATGCCAGGAAGGATTCTTGCCTAGCTTCTGAAGGAAGTGACTCGGAAGACATGTGCTACCAAGCAAGCATCCTCACGATTGAGAAACGGCCCCTCTCTCTCCTAAACAGCTTGTTGGAGCTCCTGTGAGCCCACTGTGCTCTGATTGGTCAGCTCGCCCACTCTGTTCTGATGAATCCACCACCGTTACAGTGGAACATCAGTGATTATGTTTTACAATGGAGTTTGTTAGCAACCAGGAAATGACTCCAGTAATGACAAACGGATGAGAATGCTGCGTGGGGTCTGGGTGCCGTGTTGGCGGGACGTTGCGAGGCTCGCTGCTGCGAGGAACGGAAGATGACTGGAGTGGTTTCCTGGTTGCTGCGTGGGGTCGGCGAGACAGCACAGACTCAAAGCCTCGCCGCGTCCCGCCGTCTCGGGCTGAAAAATCCGCGGAGTGTGAGGAAGTCCGCGGATTGGTCCAAATTGGTTCCCGGAAGAAACAAATGGAAAAAGAGAAATCTCCAACGAGGCGTTCTGGGGCAGCATAGACAGGTCTTTTCTGTGTTACGCTGCGTCCACACTACAGCGTCGACAGCTTCAAAAACAGTTTCCAACGCGTCTGCCCATTCACTTTGAATGGGGTGACGTCACGTTGCCTCGCTTTTTGCCGAACTGAATTGTGGGTAGCATAGCGGTCCGTCTCCGCCGTAGCCAGCGCCAGCCAATCAAATCCCGTTTCTGAAAATCTGACAGATCAAGCCGTAGCCAATCAAACCGTGTCTAAGCTGGGAGAGATATCCCGACGTTCATTTCTACATTTCAAAAAAAGATGGAGGAGAAACTAATTATCGCCGTAGCAAATCACCCGGTTTTGTATGACCAGACCCTCTTCACCTACCCGGGATACAAACCGGAGGAACCAGACATGGAGGGAGGTGGCAGAGACAGTGGGTGAAACTGGTAGGTTTTCGCCTGTTTGGGGAGTTTATATATATATTGCTCCCATAAAATCCCCGGGGGTTTTTGCTTTGTATGTCGGGGGCGGGAGATTCATGTGATTGGTTGTTGGTCGCGTTGCTCGAATAAAATCCCCAAGCTTCAGACACGCCCAGCTCCAAGATTTTTTTGAAGCTGTATTGTGGACGCTCCGTTAGAGTTGTACTCGCTACAGGGTGTACTTTGAGGGTCTGTGACTCTGCAGACCGTTTACATGCAGAAAAAGCTACATAACACAAGGGGACGGGTAATAACCGGGACATGGGACCTTTAACTACTTATTACTGCTCACTTCATGTCAGCACTATGCATTAAGAAAAGATAGTACTTTATTGATCCCAATTTGGGAAATGTTTGTGTTGCAGCAGCATAACAAGACATGGCATTGTACAATACAAATGAAAAGACAAGAAATAAACAAGAAAGTAGAAAATACACATGTTGAATTAACAAATGAGCAATAACAAGATATAAAGCAAGGTATTTTATATACATAAGTATGTGACAGATGGAATATTAAATATTAAACTGAAAATATAAATCTAAAATGTACAGTGTGATTTTATTCCAAGAGAAACTATGGAGCAGAGAGTTCTCTGCCAGTCAGAGGTGATGTGTTGTAGAGCTGAGTGGTCAGATGTTTTCTTACCAGTCTTTCTCTGAGGATGCTGCTGGTTCAGAGTTCACAGGTCCAGCATCTGTCTGCTCAGATCCACCAGCATCTGTCTGCTCAGATCCACCAGCATCTGTCTGCTCAGATCCACCAGCATCTGTCTGCTCAGATCCACCAGCATCTGTCTGCTCAGATCCACCAGCATCTTCTGGAACTGGTTCAGCAGCTTCAGCAGGAGCATCATCTTCAGCTGTCTCTTCTCTTTTCTCCTGCCCTAACAGTCTCTGCTTGGTCCTGTTAAGGCGATGGGTCCAGGCCTCGTTCCTCAGTTTCTCTGCCTCGGCCACGTATAGATGCCGGAGGTGTTCGGGGTACTCCTCCTTGTAGAGAGCTTTGGACGCAGGGGTCCTCCTTTTCTCCTTACGCAGCAGTTTGTTGTACTCATGTCTGACTTTTTCCTTTCTTTTTAAAGCAAACCCTTGTCCTGGAGACAAAAGGCATAGCAAGAATTATTAAGATGACAATTTATTTAAATGGGGAGTGGTGAGATTTATTTTAATTCAAATTAAACAATTGAATTTATAATGAATATATTGGACATAATATCCAAACATTTTAAGAATATGAAAGACTATGTTTCTCTAAAAACATATCCATGTGTAGTGTTTGCATTTGGGTGAATTAACTAAACCCCCAATAATGATCTCATTACTGTCTCTTTCTACCTGTAAGTGTACTAGCTAAAAGCGTACCTTCTTTAACACTGCCTTCAAATACTTTGTTGTCGGGGACCCATTTCCTCTTGTTGACACCATGTAGGGTATTTTGTGGTTTCTTCCAGTTACCAGCTTTCGCCACAAACTTATGATCCTTTTTTTTGTTATCAGTCGGTGCCATTTCAGTTAGAACTTGCCAGGAAAAGTAAAATGTTTACAAAACTCATGCGGGTTAAGATTAGGCTGCATGCGATTTGTGTTAAAGACGCGATGTGATGACGTACCCGTGCCAGTCATGAACAATCAATCTCGGAGAATTCGATTTCGATCCAAAATATCTTGATTCTTGAGGTGATTCATTTAATATTAGGACATTTCTATGTTTGTTACATGATGGGAAAATGTACTCAACATGTTTTTACCGAACGGGCTGACATGCTTGAATATAATTAGTTTTAAAGTTAAATCAATAACATTGTGTTAATAACATGCCAATTGAGGGTATTCGTTATTTTAATTTGTATAACGTGCCGCTTGGCTTGACTAAAATTGCAACATATTGTGCAAACGTTAAATGTATTCCCTTTTATGTTTGCTCGTCATATTTTAAAAAGGGTTATAGTTCACATTTTATTATAAAACCATCGAAGAGTATTTTCTACTACTTTTGCCTGTGAGGTACATGCAGGAACACTTCATGCTTCACTCGGGCTATCTTTAGAGAGCTTTTTAACATGTCATCCTCCTCATACTGCCTCACGGAAATACAACGTCGTATAGATGAAGTTAAGCAGTTTCTATCTATAACTCTGAACATCGCTAATGCTCACACTGTGGAGTTTTACACTCAGGACGCGTGGAACCGATTCACGGCCGTGCCACCTCAGGAGGTCCTGTCAACATTTAGCTCCTGTAATGACGGCAGTGACCAGCAGAGGGAGCCACAACACAGAGCAAAGGGTAAACAAATACACTTCTTCATATTAAGCTTGTAGAGAATCATTATGGAGGCCAATATCTCATAAGTCATCATGTATACAGGTTTTGAAAGTTGTAACAAATTAAATCACTAATAGTGGTTGATAAATGATTTACTACTGATTTAACTTAAGTTTTGGGTTGCCAGGTTATTCATCCTATCCTACTGTATAATTTCTCAAATGATGAATTGCATTAGGGGTGTTTCTTAAAACCCTAACTATCCTATAATATTACATTTATTTCTGTGTCTGTCTTCCTTGATAGATCACTCCAAGACCACATTCGGGTTCTGCAATGAAACAGACCGGCTGGTGGATGCTTGTGAACTGTTGCGGGCCGCCAGAGCTCACTCCCTCCCTGGCCTTGGAGTGTGTATGAGCAGGGACGAGCTGCTGCAGGCCCTCAGAGAGAGCAGGGCTGAGTCCAGAGCTCCAGCAGCAGCCATGGGTATGTCTGAACACATTGTTTCATGTCATGACAATTATTTAGGAAACATTTTGGGTATGTATGGCTAAAAAACATTTGTTCTTCCTAACCTAGGTGCTGAGATGGAGACAGATGAGTTTATGAATTCCAAGAAATCTCATGAAGTCCAATCCATGTCTGAGGTGGTGGCCTGTCTGGCCCAGCACTGTGGAGTGAAACAGGTGAAGTTACATTTTAAACGTTTAAATGAATGAATAAAAAAACTTTTTAATGTCTTTTATACATAAATATGTGTCCCCAGTGTGTAAGGGAACTCACAAAGTGAAAATAAAACCTTCTCTCTTTTCCTCCATACCCAAATCTCTAAAAACGGGGGTACAACGGAGCTGATCCAGATTTGCTGCAGATATGACGTAATATCTGAAATATGGGCTGGCTTTACGCCCACGGCCCTATCAGAAACGTTGCTATCAGAAACAATGCGCAACATGTTTTGGACATAATATGGTCTGTGTTTAGGTTAGCAAGCATCGCTAACACTCAGAGCCAACCTGTACTGGAGAGAGTATGTGTAAAAAAGCCATACATTTAAAAAAAGGAACTCACCTTGTGGTAAACCCGCAAGAGAAAAAGCATTTGAGCTCCATACTGTTTCAGAAATAATCCTTGACGTGTTGGATCATGATATGGCGTTTAATCACGGCAGCGTTTAGATGCATCTGAGCAGAGCAGACAGCTCGTCACAAAACTCACAATGTGCCTTGCCGTGCTCAAAACGGGGCGGGGCCAGCAGATAATCAGCCAGGGCTTAAACAGAGGGATTTGAGGGATGTCTAAAACGCATGATCTGTTTGGTATTTTGTGCAAAACACATCATAGATATGTTTTTTATATATTTGTATATATCTGAGACCCATAATATGTGCCTAAAATTAGCATGATAGGAGATCTTTAAGGACAGACTTGAACCCTCAACAGGAAGAAGTTTATCTTAGTAGCCTGAGCTTTGCTCATATTTCTTCTTCCATTGTTCCTCTCCCCCCAGGTGATAGATGTAGGCTCAGGGAAAGGCTACCTGAGCTCCTTCCTCTCCCTGCAGTATGGCTTCCACGTCTACGGCATCGACTCCTCCAGCTCCAACACCCACGGAGCCCAGGAGAGGAACAGGAAGCTGAAGAAGTTCTCCAGGGCGTACCAGAAACACAACAAGGCAGTGAGGGCACAAGGAAAGGCTGCACATTCACCTCAGGAGGAGTCAGAAGAAATAAAACCTGGAGTGGAGGGAGACGATGATTTTTCACACGGGGTAGGGTTGTCACAAGAGGAGGAAAAAGAAAGGGAATCAGAGCCAAACCCAGAACAGGACTTCTTCCTTAGTGCCCCATCAGTGGATGTGATGCAGCCTTCATCCCCCAGAGTTCCCTCCAGCCAGCTCACTGATGAGGAGAGGGAGAGGAGGAAGAGGGAGAGCCTGGAGAGGAAAGCTCAGAACAGAACCAGTGCCAACGAGATGTTTTCCCCTCTCACTTCTTATGTTACTGCGGAAACTGAGCTCCGAGAGCTAATCGACGAGCTGGAGGTGAGCAAATCCAAAGTATAAAAAAAGATCCGAAAATATTTAGTGGTTGCATATAGCTGCACGATTCCCACTGGCGCTCATGAAATTACGAGTCTACCACAGCAGCTGGAATTTGCATTGCTGGAACAAGTGTGGGGCGTTATCTCGGTGCCAAATCCGCAGCGCGTCATCATCAATAAACTTAACCATCGATCACCACCCCTCCCCTCTTTTTCTGTTCTCCCCTTTCCCTGCGTGCTTTCTTCAAATTCCAGGATGCGGTCATGGTCGGCCTGCACACGTGTGGCGACTTGGCTCCCAGCACCCTGAGGATGTTCGTGGCTAAACCGGAGCTGTCCGCAGTCTGTAGCGTGGGCTGCTGCTATCACCTGCTGTCTGAGGAGTTTGACCCTGCCGGACAAGGTAACACACACACACACCACACACACACACACACACCACACACACACACACACACACACACACACACACACACACACACACCACACACACACACACACACACACACACACACACAACCACACACACACACACACACACACACACACACACACACACACACACACACACACACACACACACACACACACACACACACACACACACACACACACACATAGAGGAGAGGGCTGAGCACGCAGCCTTGAGGGGCTCCGGTGTTGAGGATCAGGGTGGAGGATGTGATGTTTCCCACCCGCACTGCCTGAGGTCTGCCCGTCAGGAAGTTCAGGATCCAGTCACAGAGGGCGCTGTTGAGCCGAGGTCTCTGAGCTTGATGACCAGCTTGGAGGGCACAATGGTGTTGAAGGCTGAACTGTAGTCAATGAACAGCATTCTCCCATATGTGTTCCTCTGGTCCAGGTGTGAGAGGGCAGTGTGGATGGTGAGGGCTATGGCGTCGTCTGTGGACCTGTTTGCTCTGTAGGCAAACTGCAGGGGGTCCAGAGAGTCAGGGAGAGAGGAGGTGATGAATGTTTTGACTCACCGCTCAAAGCACTTCATTATGATGGAGGTGAGTGCTACTGGGCTGGTGATTTTTGTCTTTTTGGGGACAGGAACGATGGTGGAGTGTTTAAAAAATCTGGTTTCCATTGTACGTATATCTTAGCCTTTCTCTCTATTTTTCTCTCTTTCTCCCACACATGTCCCATAAACCCATCTCAGACATCTGCAGAGCTCATTCTATATCTCTGATCCAATCTGAAATGAAATATTAGCTTCCCACATAAACACTAATAGCCATATCTTATAGTAAACAAGTCCACTCCACTGAGAGCCTGGAGACTCAGCCAAGTTACACTTCTGGAGATTGAGTTGGGCTCTGTTAAAGCCATTAGTGTGGATTTATGTAATAAGGATGGCTGTTTATGCCTGCTGAAAATTAGCTTTTTTTTAAACTTTGATTTATTCTGAAACCAGCATGTTGTATACTCTTAGTTATTTAACTCCTTTCAAACTGAGGAGATGGTATGTCATCCTCTACACCTGAGGTTAATTCAGGTGACAAAACACAGGATCATACATTGATGTCATCCTCTCTTCTTCACCGCTGAGTTTAACGGGGTATGAAATTGTCTACATGTGTCCTCATGCTGTGACTGCAGCCTCTGTAAATCCTTAGGGAGAGCCGTCACTACAGTGGATACGGTGTCCCGTCATCTCTTGTTAACGGCGTGACCTTCGATCCTCACATCATCTCGGCCCGACGCAGCTTCAGCCAAGAGCCAGCGGAAAATGATATCACGACAGCTGATTGAAAACACTCCCATCCATGCTCGTTTCTCAAGTTACGGCTTTATGCTTTAAAGAAGTGAACAAATGGCAATCACACTGACACACACTTCCTCTCCCCTTACAGTGCAGTCTGGGATGCTGGCCAGCTCCTGTGGTGGCTACCTCACTCTCAAAAAGAGCTGCAGAGCTGAAAAGCTTCATTATAGAAAGCTACAATTATGTGATCTACTCACTTCGGTATCATCAAGTCGCTATTCTAGACCAATTTTACTGGGGGGGGCGCGCTGGGGCCAGTTATTTTATGAGAGGAGCACATTTAACGCGCTATAAAGACAAAATTGCCATGTAACGTTCGAATCGTGATTAAGTATAAAGTCAGAGCCCAAAGAAAAACAATAAATACAATCATGTGTGGGGTTTTTTGTAAGAGAACTTTAGTCAATGTCTAAGTTACATTTTATTTTATTATAACTATCAAAAATTGCATTATCATAATTATTTCTTTTGGAGGGGAGCCACAGGGGGGTCCCAGCTCAGTGTTATAGGGGGCACTGGCCCTTGTTGCCTCCCCCCCCCAGAACCTACC